TATTTGTGAACATTAAATCTTTTCTAGACTCTTAAACTCAACACTGACATTATTGGTTTTTATGTCAATAACAGTTACATTCAATTTACTACTGATGCTGAAATCTGAAGATATTGATTAATTTATTGTTAATTTTTGTAAAATATCTTCTATTATTATTTTCTTCACAATTTATTTCTTCAATTCTATTCATCATCTTTTATTTGATGATTTTACAATTGAAGGTATCATTAATTTCATCTGATTATCATACATTTAAATATTTATACATTTCATCTCTTTCAATTAGTGTAATGTTTTCATTTCAAGATGATATTTGATTAATATTCTTTATTTCTTGTTTATTTTCATTCATTTTTTTATTTAATTTATTATTTATTTTATTTGTTGATTATTCTCATTTATTCATTATTTGGTATCATTAGTATCATTTATTCATTATATAATATATGATTTATATTATTGAACTTATATTCAATGAATTGAGAATGTATATTCATTTTAATGATGATAGAGATGATAATGAATCATAATGTAAAATTTATCATTTTAGTATATCATTTATATTTATTATATTTATACAATATGATTATATTCATTATATTTTATATATTATATATGTTGATTCATTCTATGTTAAATTATTTTAATATTTCTATTTCTTATTCATGATTTACTTATTCATATGATTTATTAATATCATAATATGATTCTATATATTTTATGTATTTGTCTTATTTCTGATGATTTAATATATAATTATTTATTATTTATTATCAAGATATTATAATTTACATCATAATTGATTTTTATTAATTTTAAATGATTTATTCATATTAATTCTATTATGAATATTATCTTTTAATAATGATATTAATATTTTCATAATTATATTTATACAATTAATATGATGTTAATTAATAACATCATTCATATCACTTCATTTATTGATTAATATTGTTCTTCAATTTACCATATTTAATTTGATGATTTCATTGAAATTTAATTATTTATTAAATATATTAAGAATATATTCTCTTGATGTTGATAATTTCTTCATTTAATATAAATATATAATATCAATTCATTGTGATTTCGAGTTATTTATTTTCATCATAATTAAAATTAAATCATCCAATGTAATGATGATATTATCATAATTTCTGTATCTTTCATTCTAAATTATGACTTGATTTATTTTCATTTATTTTATTTGATTGATGATAATATTAAGATATTCATTATCAATATCAATAATGTTATTTTTCATATTGATGTTTTTTATTATTAAATTACACTATAATTTCTATGATTGAGTTCACTTTCATTTTAATATATCTTTTAGTTGTTTATTTTATGTGATAATTTAATATTATTAATGTATTCTTTCTCATTATTTACATTAATATTTATTACTTTGATTATATTTCTGTTTGTTCCCATCTTAATTTCTTATTTAATTTCTTATTTAACCAATTAATTGCAAAACAATACAAAATATCAATTAAAATTCTATTTGTTTGATTTATTGTTTTATTTTATTCTTGATTTATTATTATTTCTTGTTTTTTTGATGTTCAATGCTTTGTTCTTTTATTTCTAATATTATATTTTTCATAGTTGTAGTTTTGATCATTTGTATTGTCCCATATGATGATGTTCTCAGTATTTGTTATGTACTTATCATTAATATCATTGTTTTCTTCTTCTCATTTTCTGAAATAAAAAATAAACAATAAATTGATGATGATTTGATATTAACTGATTTTTTTCTTCTTTTTCTCTTTGTATTGTCTAATTCTTCTTTTGTTTTTTTCTGCAATCTCATACTTTTCAATTCTTCTTTTTTGATATTCAATGATTTGATTTTATTTATCTCTTATGTTCTTCTTCAACAACTCAGTACTCTTCTTTATCTCATCATTATCTAAATTCTCATAATTTACTAGGAGAATAATGGTTTTATCATTATTTCATATTGCTGTGTTACTTCTACTTTATATTTCATTTATTTTATTTATAATGAGACATTTATTGTTTTAATTTAGAGTTTTCTTTTCTTATTTCATTACATATGTTTGAATATTGTTTATTTATGTTTTCATCTTTTTTATTCTCTTCTCTGATTATAATTTGTGTTTTTTGAATCATTTCATTTGAGATGATTCGTTCTTCTTTATTCTTTTTTTGTTTGAAATTATTTAATATTTTATTCATTTCTTTGTTTTGATTTTTGTTTTTGATTCATTCTTCATTTCTTTTAATATTTTCATCATTTATTTTGTTTTATATTTGTTGTCTTCTTTGTTTTTCTTTATTATTTTATTCTTATTGAATATAATTCTTGGATAATATTATACATTCTCTTTATCTTATTATTTTTATGTATTTCTGATTATTCTCATTCTCATTTTCACTTCTTATTCTTTTATTTTTTATTTTAATTTCATTTATTGTTAATAATTTATATTTCTTATTTATATAATATTTATTATCATTGTATTTACTTTGTTTCTTATTTGTTTTTATTTGTATTCTTCTTTTTCTATTCATTTTTCTCTTGTTATTTCTTTTATCATAGGTATTATGCATTTTATTGTTATTTCATTCATTCTTTTCTTTGAACTTGAATACCTGTTTGTTGTTTGATTTTCTTTACAAGACTCTATGGCATTACTCAATAACATGACAACAAAATATGATGTATATTCTGAATTGAAAAAATGATTATGTTTAATATTTAATATAAAATACAAATTTGAAAGCTTAAAAATAAATTAAATGACAAAAGTGTACGTATTTATATCCTACAAATAATTTCTGGATTATTTTAACACTTTTTGAAATAGAAAAGACAAAAAACAATGAAAAATATATTACTAACAAGATCAAATTAACTTCACTTCATAATCAAAACAAATCTCTTTTAAAATGAATACCATAGAACTAAAATGTATCAAGATAAGCTACTGTCATGAAGGGGATACTTAAATGTTTTCGGATATAAAGAATTATATTGAATCAACACTCATCAATCATTTAATAACAAAGACCAATAACAATAACAACAGTAATATCAAAACTAAATTCTTTGTGATTATCCAAAATGTTCTACTTAAACAAACCAATACTTAAAATCTTCAAAAACCTATATACATTTCCTTTTAATTCCAATAGTCATGCAATAAAAAATACTTTCAAAACGGTGACACTATTGATACTCTTTTTTTCATTATTTCATATTAAAAACCTACAACATTACACTGAAAGAGAGTAATAATTTTTTTTCAACAGAACAAAATTGTGGAGGTATTTTAGTTAATTATATGCCTGAATTAAGACACATATTATTTGGTTTTTACATTGGCTATTAACAGGTTCAAGTTGTGATATGAAGTTTTTTTAAAGTAAATAAAATGAAAAATAAATTATAAATATAGTAAAATAAATTAAAAAAGAATAGAATCAAAATTTATGCGTTTGGATTTTCATAGATCAAGTTCTCTTTTCATTTTCATTTCAAAGAAAGAGAAGCCATGGTTGATTTATTAAAAGAAGGAACAAAACACCTTAGTGGACTTGAAGAGGCTGTGTTAAAGAACGTAGAAGCAGTCAGATCTCTTTCACAAATAACAAAAACAACATTTGGACCTCAAGGAATGAAGAAGTTAATTGTTAACAATAAAGGAAAACAATACGTTACTTCAGATGCAGCTAAGATCATTACTGAACTTGAGTTCCAACACCCTGCTGCTAATATGGTTATTAATGCAGCAAAACAACAACAAGCAGAAATTGGAGATTTTACAAATTTAGTTATTATGTTTGCTGGTGAATTAATGACTCAAGCTGAAGGATTATTAAGAATGGGACTTCATCCAACAATTATTGCAGATGGATATCGAACTGGTTTAAAATTCTTTAATGATCATTGTGAAGATCTTGGTTATCTACACTG